CCTGGCTCTGCACTTGGGAATCATTCCTGGCAGTGCTGAGGCGACCATAAAGGATGTCAGGGACTGAACCCAGGTCAGCCCATGCAAGGCAAAGGCCCTCTCTGCCATCGGGCCCCTCTGCTACATTGTTACTCAATTTTTTTTTTTAAAGTTCTTTCCATGGATGGCTCAGTAAACAGATGAAAGACTGCCTGTGAACTAACACCAGGACAGCAGAGGCAACTAAGTGCACCATGGTATTAGCACTGAACAGGCTGAACTACCAAAAGATCCCCTACAAAATGCTGGCAGGAGATTAGAACATTTCTCTTTTGAATTAAATTCCTAATATCTACTCATATCCAGTTACTAGAAGAGAGAAGGAATAATTAATTCATTGTTTTCAGCATTAACAATTACCCACAGTTGGTTCAAAGAAAAGCTGATATGAGAAGAATGGAACACAATCATCTTTGCTTTCAAGTTCTAAGAAGCAAACTGAATGGAGATTTCGTGGTACAACATGACACAGAAGGAAGAAAATGTCTCACGACTGAACGGCAAAAAAGACTGTTAAGTTCAAGTCGAGGTGTATTTGCAGGGGCAAATTTATCTAAGGGAGAGAGTGTACTTTTCAAGTTCAGGAAAAATATTTAAAAATCTAATTAATAATGAATTATACTTTCTCTAAAAAAGATTATCCATCCGGGCTCAGATAGAATAGTAGTTTCTACGGCTCTATTAAATTATTAACAGGCTGGAGCGATAGTAGAGCGAGTAGGGTGCCTGCCTTGCAAGCGACCAATCCAGGTTCAATCCCTGGCACCCTGTATGGTCCCCAGAGCCTGCTAGAGTAATTCCTGAGAGGCTGGAGCGATAGCACAGCAGGTAGGTCGTTTGCCTTGCACGCAGCTGACCCTGGTTCGATTCCCAGCATCCCATATCGTCCCCCGAGCACCGCCGGGAGTAATTCCTGAGTGCATGAGCCAGGAGTAACCCCTGTGCATCGCTGGGTGTGACCGAAAAAAAAAATAAATAGAGTGATTCCTGAGCTCAGAGCCAGGAATAAGTCCTGAGCGCGGCCAGGTGTGGCCCTAAACCCCCAAATAAATGAATGTCCAGTAGTTACAAACAAGCAAATACAGACACCCAGATCAGGTTGGGTGGGCTACAGGGTGAGTGAAAGCTAGGCTTGAAAGTAACTTGAAATAGACTAAAGTGCTTGCCTTAGGCATCTGGCCAGTGCTGATTCAACAACAACAACAAAACAAAAACAACAACAGTCACAGAAATAAGGGCAAATCATGAAACAGATCACCTGTAATAATCATTCCCTGTGCTGAAACAGAAGGGTTAGCTGGGCTTCAACAATTCACAGCATTTTTAATCTACCACTATTTGCATCGCTTCCACTACAGTTCCCATTGGGGGTGGGGGTAGGGAAAGAGGCCTACAGCAGCTCTGCGTTTATACCATGTATGGCAAGACAAAAATATTCAGGGCCCCGTTTGATTAGAGCCTCACGTAAGGGGAGGCAGGTCGCAGGATGACAGTGGTCAAGCTAGGCTTTTGTGGTGGTGCCATGGGGGGAGGCTGCCACTTATCCTTTCCTGCCACAGCTGCTTTTCTGCAACTTGAGGATAAGTGGGAGGCAGCTGCCCTCCAGGCTCAGGCTGGCACTGGCTTTCTCTGCTTTTCCTGTTTCACAGTGCTCTGCAAAGCAGAGCCTCTTTATGCCAGCAGGAGGTGCAATGACTGTGGGAAACACCTTTTCACCCTTTCTGAGGGAGTCTTCAGGGTCTGAAAAGCCAGTATTTCAAATATATCATTATACGTAACAATTGCCGCAGTGGGTCTAAGAGTAGCTCCAGGGAACACTTTTCCTAAGTGTATTTTTCTTTCTGCAGCAAACCTCATTTATGCTAACATTTTTTTTTTTTGAGTCAGAGGCTTACTAAAGCCCTTTAAAAAATTTACTGATTATCATTAAAAAAAAAAAGGTATTTCTTCAGTCTGAAGAAATGTATTTCTTCGCCTCTGGAAAATGGCTTTGCAAAACCTATTAGCTAGCAGAAAATCCTAGTTTCGATATTTTTCCCCTCTTCATGAAAATTTACGTCCCCAAATAGCCATTCCAAATGGGAAAGGCCCAGTCCCATTTATTACAGAAGGATCCAGAACCTGGAAATCGATGTGGTTTTGCCTCAAAAGGGAAGCGGTAATAAGGCAGTCTCAGAATCAGAAGCAGGTCTTCAAACCTGCTCACCTCTAGCCCCTCTATCAGATAAGTCATAGTTCCATTCCTCTATCAGATAAGTCATAGTTCCATTCATCCAAGCTCTCTCGGAGTTGTTTATCACTTGACTGGTTCCTCATCTCCCACTTCTTCCATGACTTTATCTTCATAATCAGAGCAGCTCTATGGATCTGCTTCGCCGCATCATAGCTTTGAAGGTGAAAAGTCTTAACTGGACACAGTGCCACAGGTACATACATGGTTGTGTAAAATATATACTGCTTACGGGGGATATTTCGTCTCTCCCATCAGTGAGAGATGAAAATGAAATCCTAAATTGCCATTAATAAAGTAACTTCATATTCTAATCTTTTTCATCCCCCAGAGGACTCCTGGTGAGTTTTGGCCAACCAAGCCAGGGGTTTAATAGAGGACCCAAGGACATGGGGCTCGACTCTGAAGATGCTCTGGTGACTCCTGGACGGCACAGGCAATGCACAGGGACCATGGGGTGCCACATTGAAGGCAAGTGTCTTAGCCCCTGTACTAGCCCTCTGATTTCTCTAATCTTCCCACAAAAGCTTTAAAAAGTCCTGGTGGCAAAAGCAAGCCTTACATGTTCTTAAATAACTTGATTCACGTCTCCATTCTAAATTGGGTTAAAAAAAAAAAAAAGGAAGACATAATTTATTTTTGAACTGCTCTTTCATTGGATGACTTAGTAACTACTTACAATTTTAACCTTAAGAACTTGAAGGTTGGTAGCACAGGTGATTAAACAATACTGAAACCAGCAACACGAGGTCAACTTTGTATGTAGTGCCTTGAGTTCTGAATCCCCCCAAAATGTCCAGCCTCTCTAGTACCATAAATATAATACTCTCAGATAACCAGGTGGTTCTTCTCAGTTTTCTGTTGCTGTCCTCGGTTTTAGAATGGAGACTTTTGAACTTTAAAACTTTCAGGGGAGGAGCCACGCCTGGCAATGCTAGGGATCACTTGGTGGTGCTCAGAGGGACTGAAATTAAAACTAGGCTGGCCACATGCAAGGCAAGCACTTTACCCCAGAACTGCTCTCTGTCCTGAACTTTTATACTGTTTACATTGATTTCCTTGTCTTTTTATACCTGTATGTTAAAAACCAATAACCAAGGTTATGAGGAAACCCTGGTTTTATCTTTTGAAAGCAGATTCAAAGAACATATAAGAAGAAAACAAGAGTAAAACAAATGCTTAAGGCAGAATGATCAAAGGAATGGCTGGTTTTAGAAAAAAGAATCCTCCTATGATCTAGCTGATGTATTATCCAAGTCACTGTGAATTATTTTATTTTCGGGCATCAAAAAAAAAAGCCTTAAATAGCTTGCCATCCACACTTCCTGATTTGAGGTTGGGTGGGAGGTACCAATGAACTGTTTTCTGTCACAAGTCATTGCATAAACACTCAAACTCAAGGGGGGGGGAGGGGGCGGGTTTAAGATTCCCCAACTTTATTTCCCCGACTGGCCAGCAGTGAAACTAATTTGACCGTCTCTGCGGTTTAAGTAAGGAAACTTTCCTCCGGCAGTGAAACATCAAGATCATCACTGAGGTCTTAAATGAAAGCAACAAATGCGTTGTTAGTCATGTTACCTGTCAGGGGAGTTAAAAGCAGGTCAACAGGATGTAAACCAGTTGCTGATATTCTAGGTGGTGTGCAGGGGGGAGGTGGGAGGTAGGGGTGGAAAGGGAGAGAGTGAGGACTTCTTAATGTCTTGAGAATGTCACAGAATGGTCCAAGTGGGGCAGCACAGATGAGGACCGCCAAGGGGGCTGTTTCCTGCCCAAAGCTAAAGGATGACACTGGGCAGGGGGTGGGCTTAGAACTGCAGCTGGTGACAATGGCCACTTGTTACACCTCCCAGGCTTGTCGCTATGCAAAGCGCCAGAGATGGCCCAGGGTGGGCAAAGGCGAGTGTGTTGGGGGACCGTGGAGGGGGCACGCACCCTCCAGGCCTGGCCTAGGGTCTCAATCCCACATCCCACAGATCTGTGTGTGTGTGTGTGTGTGTGTGTTGGGGGAAGGTGGAAGGGACACATCCTCGCCCCGGGCCAGGCCCAGGGTCTCCACCCCATGGCTGTGTGTACGTATGCATATGTGTGTTGGTGTGTGTGTGTGTGTGTGTGTGTGTGTGTGTGTGTTGGGGGGCCGTGGAGGGGGCATGCACCCCTGGGGCCAGGCCTAGGGTCTCCACCCCACGGCTGTGTGTGCGTGTATGTGTGTGTTGGGGTGTGTGTGTGTGTGTGTGTGTGTGTGTGTGAGTGTGTGTGTGTTGGGGAGCCGTGGAGGGGGCACGCACCCCCGCCCCGGGTCAGGCTCAGGCTCTCCTGGGGAGGAGAGGGGAGAGGGGGCTGCCCCGCGAGCCCCCCACCCCGGAGTCCCCGCTGCAGCCCGGGAGGCCCCGGCCAGTGACCAGGCCGGGCGCGTTCAGGAACCGGGATCCGAGGCGAGGCCGGGGGCGTGCAGGGCGCGTGCGGGGCGCGCTCGGGGCGTGTGTGTGTGTGGGGGGGGGGGGCGAGGGCCGGTTCCCCCCCCCAGCACCCCGCACCCCGCCGGGCGCCGGCGATCGGGGCCGGGGCCAGGGCCAGGGGCGTCCGGCCGGCCGCTGGCCGCCATGATGGGCAGGCCGGGCCCGGGGGGGGCGTGACGCGGGCAGGGCCCGGCCCCCCGCCGGCCCCGCGACCCCCTCGCGCGACCCCCCCCCCGCGCGGGCCGCGGCCGCAACTGCCCGCCCGGGATACTCACGCTTTGTCCACCAGCTCCCGCACCTTCCACATGTTCAACATCGCGCCCCGCCGCCGCCGCCCAGGGGGGCCCCCGAACACGACTTCCTTCTTTCCGCGCCGGGCCGGGTCGGGTCCGCGCCGGGGGTCGTCGCCGCCGCCGCCGCCGCCGCCCCGCCGCCTCGAACTCCCCAAGTCGCTTCGTCCAGCCCCGGCCGCTGCGCCGCCGCCGCCGCCGCCGCCGGTGACACGTCGAGACGCGGGGGCAGCGGCGCTGCTGCGTGGACCGGAAGCGGCCCCGGACTTCCGGCTCCGCGCGCGGGGCACGCCGGGACTTGTAGTCCGCGGGCGAGTCCCGGGCGCGGCGACGGCGGCAGCAGCAGCAGCGACAGAAGCGGCGGCGGCGGCCCCACCCCCGCCACAGGTGGAAGCGACTCAGCCTCGGGATTCCCGTGCCGGCCGCCGCGCCTCCCTCTTCCCACGCAGGAAGCAGCATCTCGGCGAGCTGCTGTGGGGGCGGCCCGGCCCCCGCGTGTCCGCGTCGCCCCGCCTCAGCGCAGCCCTGACTGACGGGGCTCTGTGTGGAGGAAGAAAAAAAAAAACGCTGACGCGGAGGTGAGCTGTCGGGCACCCGCGCGCCTCAGCGACGACCGGGTCCCCTCAGCCTCGCCCTCGAGACCCCCTCCCCCATACACACACACTTGCCTCGGCTCCCCGCCCCAATTCTGGGGGCTCCGGCGGTCTTCTGTCTGTCTGTGGTGGAAAGTCTTTCCCCCTTCCGCGCTGCCCGAGTGCGCCCCGACGAGAGACCCCCGCGCGACTCGCCGAGGGACGCCGTGACCGGCTGTGGTGAAGCACGAGCCCTCCACCCCACCCCCCCGCCCCAAACACCACCTCAGGCTGCGTGGGGGTCGCGGTGCAGGGCGATGCTCCATAGACCCCCCCCCGCCCCCCGCAGCCCTAAAGTCCGCCCGCCTGGACCACGCGCGGACTTGGGTGGGCAAGCGGGACCCCCAGAGAGAGAAACCCGGCCACTGTCCTGTCAGCGCCAGGGCCGGCGAAACCCCCCCAGACCCGGGGAGCAAGTCCCCGCGCTCCAAAGACCTTCGGAGGGAACGTCTTCGTGCAGTTACCCCAGGGACTGATGGGGGGCGGGGGGGGGGGGAAGGGAAAAAAAAATCCAAACAGGAGGTAATGTTATCAAGAACAACGTGGGACATGAGGAGTCACGTCGGAGGCATTCGTTAGGGCCCCTCCAGAGGACATCATATTTAATTTATGCTGCAACGGAGTTGGTCATTAAAAACAAACAACCGGGGGCTGGAGGAATAGCACAGCGGGTAGGGCGTTTGCCTTGCACGCGGCCGACCCGGGTTCGTTTCCCAGCATCCCATAGGGTCCCCTGAGCACCGCCAGGGGTGATTCCTGAGTCCAGAACCAGGATTAATCCCTGTGCATCGTCAGGTGTGACCCAAAAAAGCAAATAAATAAATAAAAACAAAAAACACAGCAGCCCCCGCCTATGAAGCACCTGAGCCATAGTTCTATTCCTGGAACCTGGAACCCAGACTATTGCAGAGCACCTGGCTGTGGCCCTCAAGTGAAAAAAACAAACCAAAAGGAAAACAGAACTGATAAAGAAAAACATTTCACAAAGCAGAAGTGAAATTGCTCCTGGTCATGAAACTGAAGTAGCCCTGGAGCTTGGGGGTGTGGCCCAGTGGTGGCATTGAAGCAGGTTTCTCTTGTGTGTACCAGGTGTCAGCCACCCCCCCCCCCCCCCCCCCAGCACGACTAGCTCTAATCCCTCAGATTCCTCTGGTCAGGTCACTTAGTACTGTGACAATCACTTCGTTTCAGGAAGCAGGTTTGAGAAGTGCTTTAATAAAGCCCTGGGATTAAGGCAGGTTGAAGGAGTCTGCCAAGCTGAAACATTCAAAAAGACAGAAATTAAGCCAAAACTTTATTAATAGAGTTTTAACAGTTGTGTATTGCCTGTGGACAAGACAAAGGGAATCTGGTTGAGGAGGGGCTGAGTCGGGGGTCAGATAAAGATGAGCAGAGATAGGTAAAGGAAACCCACTTTTAGATGAGAAATTCGTATTGAAAGGTCCATCCAGCCCAAGCAAGAGATAAAGAATGGAATGTGACCAGAGGAGATAAGAGAAATTGCATAATTAAGAGCTCAGTGTGTTAACTTTTCAAGCAAGCCAGTCCAGGGTCCAAAGCAGGCAGCCAGGGGCGTGGCTCCAGAGTTACTCAAGACTTAACTCCATAGTTGTCAGAGGGGCATTTTTATAGTCAGCCTGGAGCCAAATGTAACACACAAAAAAACCACTGCCATTTAATAGAACCCCTGCTGGAGATAGACAATTAGACTAGGTGATTTGTTAAAAAGCACATGCAGGTAGGCAGTTGTCTTGCACAACAACCCAGATTGGATACCTGGCACTTCATACAGTTCTTCAAACTTTGCTAGGAGTGATCCCTGAGCATAGCCCAGTGTGGCCCCCCAAATAAACAAAAAGTGGTGGTATTGGAAGAGTAACTATTTGGACATAATGTTGGTCAAAGTTTTCAATTTTTGCCTTTTGTCTTGCAAGAATGGAGCAGTTTCCATAATAACTTCTTCAGAACAATTTAAATGTGCCATGGTAGAAAAATCAACAAGAAAATACCCAATCCCTTTTCAGAAAAACATACATTCCATTACATGAGCTGTAATGTAAGGCCAAATCAGCAAGCTTGAAAGTCACCATACTCAGTTGTGCTGTTCTGTATGAGGACTGATCACAGACAATGCACTCTGTTTAGTTCCCATTGCTTGCTTCTGGGTGTTGCCTTTAGAGGAGTTTAATTCAAGACACACACACGTGTGATTGCCCAGATCCCTCTTCTACATAATCAGTTTTGAGGAGTGTGGATGGTCAATAGCTAGCTGCCTTTTTTTAAAAAAATTTTTATTAGTGAAACACCATGAGGTACAGTTGTAGGCTTACAAATTTTTGTGCTTGGGTTTCAGTTACACGGTGATCAAGTACCCATCCCTCCACTAGTGCCCATTTTCCACCACCACGGACGGATCCCAGTATCCTTCCCACCCCCCATCCCCCCATCCCACCCTGCCTCTGTGGCACGGCATTCCCTTTTGGGTGCTGTGGTTTGCAAAAGAGGCATTGAGTGGCAATCATGTTAGGTCTATAGTCTACCTTTAGCATGCTTCTCCCATCCTGGGACTAGCTGCCTATTCTTAGGATCAGCCATAGCATTTCTGCCAAGGTCAGCTCTAACCCGACTGGCTACTCCCAGGAAATGACTGGGCAATATGTGTTGGGGCCAGAACATTTCAGCCAGCACACAACCCTTCTGCACAGCCGTTGCCCTGGGCTCTACAATGACTTGACCTAGATTTCCCCAGAATTTTGATGCAACCAGGTGGATGTTCTTCCAACTCCAACTACCTTTTCCCCTCTTTCCTTGAGCGGTGTAAGAGTGCCTTAGTGATCTGGAGTTCTTCCCACCTGCTTTTGCTCCCTCTTCCTTCCTTTCTTCATAGGCATTTTCCCGAAATATCTCATAAGCCTCTTAACCTTATCTCGACTTCCATCTCCTACAGCACCAAAACTGACACAACAGACAATTGTACCTTGGTTTCAGTATTTGGTCCCATGAGTCTTGTTTTTGATCACACTCGAGTGCTCCTCCCTATAAGTCTGGATACTTTCTAATCAAATTGAGGGTTACTGTAAGAGTCATGCAAATTTTTATTGCACAATCTCAGGGGCACCCTTTGTATGAACTACCATGAACAGTTCACAGTAAGGCAGTGGTTCAAGAGAGCAGATACTGGACTTAGAAAAATGTAGACTTGAATTCTCCATCTGTCATTCAGCCGCTGAGTCACTCTGGATAAGTTAATCAAACCAGTAGAGCCCCCAAACAAACAAAAGATTGCCTACAGTATTTAGTAAATTCATTATACTCCACTGTGTTGGGTAACAATGCATTTGTACATAACAACATACCTTTATAGTAAATTAATATAGTAAATATAGTAAACTCAAAACAATGCTGAGGATCAGATGAAATAATATATATGTTAGGGCTGGAGCGATAGCACAGCGGGTAGGGCGTTCGCCTTACAAGCGGCCAACATGGCCGACCCGAGTTCGATTCCTCCGCCCCTCTCGGAGAGCCTGGCAAGCTACCGAGAGTATTCGATATGCCAGACACAGTAACAACAAAGTCTCCAATGGAGATGTTACTGGGCCCGCTCGAGCAAATCGACGATCAACGGGAGGGCCTTTACCTTTACCTTTACCATGTTAGAACCTCTTGTACACTTATGTCTCATTAATTTATCAAATACATTATATTAATGTGGATCTCATTGTTTTTCCATTGTAAACTAAGAAGTTTGGTCTATCAGGATATTCTAAATTACCATACATCAAAAATTTTCGGATTACGTTTTGCTCTTTGAACTCAGTTCAATAGGTTATCACTTTCCATAATTTTGGTCACGAATGTCAGGAACTTAAAATAAGTTTGGGTTGGGCCACACTTGGCAGTGCACAGGGCTTACTCCTGGTACTGCACTCAAAAATCACTCCTGGTGGTACACAGGGGACCATATGGAATGTTGGGGATTGAACTTGGGTTGGCTGTGTGTGAGGCAAACACCTACCCGCTGTTCTATAGTTCTGACCCCAAAATAATTTTTTTGGTGGAAGTGGTAAGCGAGCAGTGGCCACACCTGGCAGTGTTTGGTGCTTACTCCTGGCTGTGTGCTCAGGGATCACTTCTGGGGGTATTGGGGGACCATATGGAATGCCAGATTGAACCCAAGTTGACTCTTGAAGGCAAATATCCAACCCGCTGTATCGTCACTTTAGCCCTTTGGTTTGTTTTTTGGGGTCACATCTGGTGGTATTCAGGGGCTACTCCCACCTCTGTCTTTGGGGGTTATTCCTGGTGGTGCTCAGGGAACCATGTGGTGCCAGAACTTGGACCTACTTCATGCAAAGCGTTATCAAAACTAGCTTTTTTGTTGTTGTTGTTACACCCAGTGATGCTCAGGGGTTACTCCTGGCTCTTCCCTCAGGAATTACTCCTGGCAGTGCTTGGGGAACCATATGGGATGCCGGGAATTGAACCCGGGTCAGCCCTGTGCAAGGCAAACTCCCTAATTGCTGTACCATAGCTCCAG